GACCCCTCCTTGGGTTTCCGAGGCAGTATCACTATGGAAGTAGGATTGCCCAACCTTCCTTCCGAGGAGTGGCTGGGGGGTTTGAACCGCCAGCCATCTGGTTAGCAGGCCACGTCCTGGAGGGAGTGTCAAATACAAGCTATGAATCTGTTCCCTCTGTTGGCATCAGTTTCCATATGTCTCAGATATAAGTATAGGAAGAGTAAGATGCCTGTGATCCTATGATTCAATATACCCCCATGGGTGCATGCCCTGGAGGGAGTGTCAAATATAAGCTGGGAATCTATTGTTCCCTCTGTTGGCATCAGTTTCCATATGTCTCAAATATGAGTCTGGGTATGTATGTGTATACATAGACATGGAGCTCTGGTGGCCAAGTGCCTAAGGCATTTGACTGCTAACCAGAAGGCTGGCAGTTCAAATCCATCAGCCACTACTCAGAAGGAAGATTGGGCAATCTACTTCCGTAGTGATACCGCCTCAGAACCCAAGGAAGGGTCGCTATGAATCAGAACCAACTTGACGACAGTGAGTTTGGTTTTGGTATATACACACACACACACACACATATATATATACACATGTGTGTGTGTATGTATATAAGATATATGTGTGTGTGTGATATAACTACTCTATAGTTATATATAAGAGAGCCCAAACTCACAGCTGTTGAGTTGGTTCTGACTCATAGTGACCCCTCCTTCGGTTTCCAAGGAGGTATCACTACGGAAGTAGATTACCCCATCTTCCTTCCGAGGAGTGGCTGGTGGGTTTGAACAGCCAGGCTTCTGGTTAGCAGTCAAATGCCTTAGGCACTAGGCCACCAGAGGTCCTGTGAGTATATGATTGCATTTAATGTAAGTCAGGCATGTAAAAATAGGTAACTCTTCACAGAACAACTTGTATAAAAGTAAGTCAATCACCTCAAATAGAGCTGAACCAAAGGAAAGGTCCTCTTTTCCAACACTGAAGAATAATTTGCTTTCTTAAGTTACTAAGAACTGGATTGTTTTTGCTCTCCAATGTGGTTTATTCTCCTCTCACCTGCCTTTTCCCCATCCCCAAGGTGCACATCCCCTGCATGTGCCCCCTTTGTACTCCTTTATGACAAGGACCATGTATTTCTTTCTCTATCTTTTCCTAATGAGCAACCAGCACAATCCATGAGCTGGAGTAATCATCTAATAAATAATGGTTGAAAAAGTGAATGAATTAAATTAATTTCAATAGACAGTTAATGAAGATCTCCTATGAACTAGCCATAGATTTAAGGAATATGGAGATGAGTAAGATATCATAACTGTCCTCAAGGAATTCAATCTAATTTGAGAGCCAAGCCAATAAAATGGTGATTGCAATATAGGACCTATATGTACCTTATAGGGCTCTGGTAGCATAGTGCCTAAAGCACTTGACTGCTAACCAGAAGGGTGGCAGTTCAAACCCACCAGCCACTCCTTGGAAGGAAGATGGGGTAATCTACTTCCGTAGTGATACTGCCTCGGAAACCCAAGGAGGGGTTACTATGAGTCGGGTCCGACTCAACGGCACTTAACAACAACAGCAACAACAACATGTACCTTATAGGTATCCAGGGCAGAGTCACTGATGCAGACTGCTGGGACGATATAGGCTTTTGGAAGAGGCGATATTCCAGTTGAGAAAGAGAAGAAAACGGAGGGTGTTGTGTAGAAGGCAGCAATCAGGATGAAGGCAGAGGGTAACCCACTAGGTTCATTCATGATCTACAGACTCAATGGGATAGTAACTGGAGAAGACGGAAGTAAGGCAGACAGCAGCAAGCACTGGGGAAGTTGGTTCTTCTGGTTTACTCCTTCCTTTTCTAGCACTGTCTGCATGGCAAAGGAGCTCTGAAGGTGCAATGGGTAAGGTATTTAGCTGCTAACCAGAAGGCTTTAAACCTACCAGCTAACCAGAAGGTTTAAACGTACCAGCTGCTCTGTGGGAGGAAGATGAGGCAATCTACTTCTGTAAAGATTTACAGCCTTAGAAACCCACTGGGGGTCACTATGAGTCAAAATTGCCTTGATGGCAGTACGTTTGGTTAGGTTTTTTGGTTTGCATGGCACGTTTAGAAAGTTGGCCCCTCCCCAAGGAAGGAAGGAATTAGAAGGTTGTATGAGAGGGATAAAAAGAAAAAGAGAGGCATGGGTGCAGGACACAGGGTCAGCTAGAGAGAAAGAGAGAGAATGTGAGAGTGAGAGTGAGAAAGCAGCAGAGGGAGATTAAGCATGAGAGAGAATACAGGAACACAAGAGAAAGAATCAAAAGGGAGCCCAAGAGAGAAGAAGCAATGGGAAAAAAAAGAGAGGAAGAATATTAGACCAATACCAACAGGCAGTCAGGATTTCTACAAGGAGGGATAGAAGCGCATAAGCTGCTGAGCTCAGGGATGCAGCATGGTCCAGTACCCGCAGTATATACCACAGAGCACTAAAAGGAAAACCACTGGGGTGGCTGGAAGACCCCACTCAACCAGAGATTGTGCCATTCTCTCCCACTATCAACTAATTTCCTGCAGCCGTGCACCTTAATGGAAATCTGATTTAAGGTTTCACT